GTTATTTCTCATATGTCTGGAAATTATTTTGATATTTGCGATACGCGCGCGATAGGACAATCTTGTGTTTTACGTAAGAAATACAAGAACGTGTTAACACACATATTTTTTTCTTTCATAGAAAATAAGCACTCTGAAGAGATTTTCAAGATATCATAATAGTTGAAACTTCATTCATAATAGTTGAAACTTTTGATCTCGCCTCGCGAAAATCAATTGTAACATGCTGAATAAAGCGACTATTAAAATTTTCTTGTGCAATAGAAAAAACTGCATGATAAAATCAAAGTGCACTCTTATCGGAGCATATCCCCTGCACATTTCAGCCTAAGCATCTTATCGATAGCGCAATGAGACGTGAAGAATTCCGATTCTCTGCGATTGAAAATATGCACGATACATCAAATTTTACAAAATACGCTCGTTAAATTTTACAAAAGTCATTCGTTACCGCGAATGGAAAGATAAATGTTTCTTTAAAATTACACTACGTACATACAAGAGGAAATGCAGACACAATAACGTTATATAACATATAGTTGTAGAAACCGATGACATTATTATCCACCAGGTAAAATTATAGAAACAGTGATCGCGCGAAAAATCCGGCGCAAAAACGAGCTATTTATTGTAATTTTTTACCTCGGTTTTTTACTCGATGATTAAGAATAACAAGTACATGCAGTCATCAGTGCAATTGTCGTCTGGTATATTTCCCGGAAAAAAGCACTCGTGCATCACCTCTTTTTCCTCATGTTTAGCACAAGAAAAAAAAAAGAAAAAGAAAATAGAGGAATTTTGCGTCTTATCTCGAGAGTTAGCACAATGATGATCGCGCATATGATATCTAACTATTTATTTGACAGCAACATCTTAATTCGGATTTAATTATTATCAGACGTCGTAACAATGAATTGCAACAAGTGTAGGTCACGCAAAGATTCGATGCTTGCTTAAAAAATTTTATTGCCACGTAATATACTCCGTCATATAATCGGAGACTCAAAAAAATATGGCATATTACTTAAATAATATAATAAAATATATATATCGCGTACATTCTAAAATATTTTTTAGAGACAATGTAAGAGAGAATAATATGCGAATTAATTCTTGTATAAATTAATATTTTTCAAGTCTTATGCAAGTTAATTGAATAATAAATTGAATAATTAAATAATTTTATTTAAAACAAATAAATAATTTATATTAATTATATCATATTTTAAATTCGCCCATTTCGCAACATCGGATTTTAAGTCTAGTTTCTAAAATTGTCACGCTATTTAATAAATATTTATAGAGTACTACACATTAATTTGTAATTTGTCGAGAAACAAATAATTAGCGTAAATAATTAGAGCGTATTTTCGTTATCGATGTATTGTTTAAACATTTTATGCTGAAAGTATCGTGCCTCTCGTTTGCGTTTGCTTGCCACGCCGAATGTTGTGCAATGTAAACAAACTTTACAACTGTTTTATTGCATGCTCTCGTCGGCTGTAAATCCGATGAATACTCGGGGCTCATTTCCCTTCGGTAAGCATGATTATAAAATGCTAATACGCTTGTATGTGAATCGTCATTTGGAATGTAAGCGCGCATTGCAAAATTCTTGATGAAACTAGTTTAACTTCGATTTTCGTGGAAAAATATTTGAAAATTAATATTGCAACGTCTTCTTTTAATTTTCACTAGAATTACAAATACCTTTAGCCTACAGGATCGACATTTTCGTTAAAAACAATTTGTTTCCGCTGAAAACCAGTTACTTAAAAAAAATTCTAATATTTTTTCTTTATAAAACCATAAAAAATACACTATATGAATAAAGTAACTAAATTTTTATTTTTAACACACACACACACACAATTTTAACATATATAAAATTCCAATTATAATATATATTAAAAAATAATAAGTTAGTTTATCTATTTAATAATTATTTTAAAACATAATTTACAGGGCGCATTAGATATTATTAGACACAGTATATTTTAATATTCAATTATATTAATATTCAGTATATATTAATATTCATTATCGAGTCAGTTAAACAGTAATTTTTTCTATTTTAGAAATAAAAAAGATATAATTGAACATTTTTTTCTCTGTCTCTCTTTTTCTCTCTTTCTCTCTTAATCACTCAGATATCGTGATAAGTAATCAACTTAAATCCACATTTATTATTGTTGACTTGTTTACGAACGTCGAAATATTTCTATAACGTCACTAAACGTAATGTCGCCAGTCATTGATGATGATCCGTGAGTTCTCGAGTCTCGTGCCATTTTAACCTCTTTTTAATCTTTGTACTTAGCAAGAAAAAAAAATATTCTTTGCAGAATAAATTCTTTAAATTGATATCGAAACTATGATACATGTCGTAATTGCAATCAGAGATTGATATCTGTATAATCTCGGTGAGTGAACTCGTTACTCCACATTCATTTATCATGACAAGTTGCAAAACTCAATTTGAAAAATTGCTTATAAAAAAATTCTTCTCTACGATATTTCATAATATTATTAATGGCTAAAACCGCGATAAATCGCGATAAGAATAATACCGAGTTGATAATAATAATAGTTTCAAGAATTTTAGTTAATTCGATAGGATCGCATACATTATCGATAAAATTAATTTTTCAATCATTCTTCAAATTAATTTTTTCAATAATTAAAATACCGAAACACGCACATACACATGTCTATGCTGTTGACGTGGCATGGAAAAACTTTAACATTTTCAATGTTAACATTTACATTGATTTTTATCATATAATCGTTGAATATTTACTTTCGAATGTATAACTATGTATACTATGTCGAATGTATACATTTCATCACGTGTATACACATCCATATCATGTAATTAATCTAGTAGATAAGTTGAAATTCGTGGGAATAATAAGTGAAATATCTAATATATAGTCAGTTATCGGTGACAATCAGTTCACATTGTATTTCGCGAACTACATCGAATTACGCATGTTTATCACTGAACACGTTCTCAAAGAGTGCAGTTAATAACACTTATTAAGAAAAATCCCTATTTTATCAAATGCTAACAATAAGTATGCATCTTACAGACAAGATTATCATCTAAATGCTAAACTCTTCCAAATATTCATAACATACGTGAATAATTTATACATTTATATCTTAGACAATTTTTATACAATCTATTATTTTCCGATATATTTAAAACACGAAAATATTTTATAACAGAAACAAATCACTTAAAATTATTATGTAAATATTACTATTATTTTATGTTATCATACATACATTGATAGAATTTATATGTATATAACGCTTAATAATAATAATAATAGTGTAAGAAAAAATATAAGATTGCATGATTTATGTTACAGGCGAAAATCGGCCTATTTTAGCTTTTTATTTTAGTTGCTTATTCGCATATTTTTAATAAGAAAAAGTAAATTATTTTTCTTACATGTTCTATTATGTTTTCTAAATAAAAAGTTTTATTAAAAATTATCTATTGAATTTTAACAAAAATAAAAAAATATAAAATTATACAATGATCAAGAATTACAAATGACGTGCTAATATTTTGCGAAGTATTATTTACAAATTTACTATAGCACATTTTTTTTCATATTTGCGTTTTCTTTCTTATATTTTCTCATTTGATCTCGTTCGAGATATGTGAGCGTCAATCATGTCAGTCTATACCGAGATATAATTAATCATTAATATCCGCTCGAGCCGAGGTAACATCATTGTTCTCAAGTGAAATATGTAATCGACGGTTTAAAATTATGCTTAAAAAAATATATGATAAACCTTGCGAATAATAAGCGTCCGTTTTCATGCCGGACACGGTATTTCCCCACCTTTGACGGTCACAAAATAATGTGAATCCCAACGAATGTAAGGTCACGTTTGCGTGCACGGGATGTCGATCGTGTAGTCGATGAGGTGGGCAATACAATATTCATGGGTTACGTATGCGAAAGGACAACTCGTATATTCGTTAGATTAATGAACGAATTAAAGTTAGCATAAAATTGTACGTATCGTACAAGGTATCGTGTACAAATCGATTCGTGACTCATTCTTGAAGGCATATTGACGTTTTCTCCAAGCAAGTACTTTAAAACTTAACAATTCGATGACGCAAACAGCATGGCATTGCTTACGTCGTACGTTAAGTGATAATATTAATGCCGGTATTAATAACAGTTCAATAGAAATCACTATCGATTGTTAAATATAATAGACACACACATAATATGTTTAAAGGCAACTCAAAACTTAATTGTTTTGATTGAGTTAAAAGTCCAGAGGGTTTTTTCTCTAAAACATCTTAAGAGTTCTTAAACGAGAATATTAACAAAAAATGTGAAGATCTCACGTAATTCTATTTAGAAAACTTAGCAAACAATTTGCATTAAATGATTCATTATTAGTGTAAATTTTCCTTTTTTTTATCGATTATTATTATATATATAGATATAAAATTTCATATTATTTATCGACGAAGAAAATTCACAAGCGATCACAATCGCTAGTCTTTCGAATTTTGTGAGTATATTTGATTAATAAATTTTCTCTATTTATTGATAATGTATATTAATTTGATTTTATACTCAATTAAATCCTATTTTAATAGAATGTAAATTTTCTCTATTTATTGATAACGTATATATGTATATATACATATATATATATATATATATATATATATATATTTTTTTTCTCTATTTATTGATAATTAATTTTATTTTACTCAATTAAATCCTATTTTAATAGAATACTAATTTTTTTCACTAACATAAATTCCGTAATTCTCAATGACACTTCTTTCAAACTTGATCATGAAGATTCCCTATCCCAAGAAAATGGGGGAATCTAATTAATTTTCGAAGCACTTGCTAATCGATCTCAGCGATTCACCTCAGGATCTAGCTCCCACCTACTACCGGCGAGATAGCGCACGTGAGGTAGGCACACGAACGCTCAACAAGAACAAGGAGGAGTACTGACAATCGAGCTACGGCTTCCTTTTATCAGTCAAGCCGAACCGTGCGTGGCACGCGGACATTTCCGTGCGCTCTGAAGAACGGAAAAGGGAAACCCGGTTTTCTTCTCATCTGACATATAGAGTGTACAATATTTAATAACGCTGGAAATCCCGAAGTGCTTGAACTCATTGTGGGTGGTTTTACGCGAGTCGCGGAAAAGGGTGCCCGCTAAACTTTGGAGTTATAGAGCATTCAAGAGGAAATTGGGACCGGAATCGGTGCTAGTACCGTCCTCATCGTCATTTCTGACGGATTCTCCAGGAACAAGTATTCCATCAATTAAATTCGACACGCTGGCGCAAATTCAATGTAAGCTTTCTATGTGAGTATCGATACGTGATATCTGAATAATTTTTTCCTTTCTTTATCAGCAATTGATATAATTTTAAAAATTGTTGCGTGCTTTTAAAATATCAAAAGTCAGATAATTATTCTATAGTTGAGATTTATACTATAATTGAGATTTTTTTATTTATATTTATAGATATTTAATTTAAAAGAGTACAAATTTATTTTGCACGTGATAAGTTTTTATAGATAAAAAATTTAAAAAACAACTTTTTTCATATCTAAACGAATAATTAGATAATAATTATTTTTATTCTTATTATAAAAAGAAATTGTGATTATTGCAATATCATGCACTAAATAATTATTACACCGATCCAGACCACTGATTATAAATATATGTATGTTGAAATAAATAATATTAGCAGTGGCTATCTATCAATATAATCAATTAATTAATTATTACTTATTTATGTAATCGATTATAAGATAATAAAATTATATTTCATTAGCAAGATCTGTGTAATATTAATAACTATGTCATGATTATTATTATTTATTATTTAATATATCTATCAATCAGTTCTTAGATGGCAATTGTAATGAAATTTGATAAATCGATATAAATTATTCGCATAATTTATCTTGGGCGATCCAAGTTGGATTTTTCCGATTTTATCGGATCAAAAACCGCAGAACTTTCCCAGATAAGTGTGGCAAAAAGGTACGCGTGTCCCTTCTCGCACATTCACGCGTAATTCAATTCATGCGACACGTGCGATCAGATTATCGCGACGCGACAGAACTCTAGTTGCCTCTATCAATCCGGTAACGTTCCCGCTGATTTTGCATATTGTGTTACATCAAGGAGCATCAAGTCCACGGGTTAGAGTGATAACTTGTCTAGTCATGATTATTTTAGTCACCCAACAAATAATTGTAAAAAAAATATATTGCTTCGATGTATATTTTTTATTGTTTACATTTACTTCTTCTATGAAAATGTGCCACAATTGGGAATAAAACTTATACATTATAAAATTTAACTTCGTATTAGTTTGGGTTTAATCTTCGATGTAATTCTAATAGAGAATTAGAAATATTAAAGTTTTTTAAAACCGAGCGAAGATAAATCGAAAATTATTCTTTTAATATCTGTTCAAAAAACAAAATATAATATTAATGTAGGATGTTTATATGATCATTCCGTACAAAATTTAAGAACTGACTATACATAATTATTTGTATATGATTATATTTAAATAACAGAAAAACATCTTCTGGGATATTATTTCTTTAATTAAAAAAAAATTTTTTTTAAAATAACTGTTTCTTTTCACAAATTGTTTACCCGTTTCTAGTAATATATATCTTTTCACCTTCTCTTCATATTTTTCTCTAGCAAATATATATAATTCGAATATTGTTTTGAATGTTGTTTTGAACACAAAAGATATATTTTTTTCTTCAAAGAGTTTATCTTTATTTTATAGCACATCAAAATTTCTTAAATATGTTTCAATAAATGGTTCTTATTTAAAAGATTCTAAGTTTTAATATAAATTATTTTAATATAAATATAAACTAGTAGGATCTCTGTTGAATAAATAATTTTTTATTTTTTTAGTAGAGCAAAGTTTTCTGTGATACATATTTTTTTTTGTAGATAGAAAATTGTTAAACAAAGATAAATTAAAATTTTGTAGAAGTTTCAGCAAATAGAACCATGTCACTGATAAGATTGCGACTGATATTATTTGTATGGTCGACTTACGACATGAAGATACACAATCTAAACTGTTAGCATCGATCAGTTAGCATCGATCGCTTCTGGCTAGCAGGCGTTTTTATTGCCCATTATGAATTATGTCCGGCGCCAACGAACAATTAGGTTTATATTAAACAACTATTGATTTTTTTATATATTTTTGTAAGATCTTTGTAACTAAAGTAAAATTCCAATATTTCAGATTTTTTACGTCAATCGAATTCGAAAAACATTTGAATTATTCATATTTTAACTTGAGCTCCTTGATTTGCATATATATGACGTAAATTTGCGTAAATTCCGATTTTCTGATTTTCATTTTTCTTGTTTTCGTACATTACATTCTCATTACTCACTTTTTCTTGATAAGCGCTACGATGTTTTGTATCGGTCAAAAAACACACATAAATGTAATTACAGTAGTTTGGACAGGTGATTTATCGTGCGATAACGATTGTAAAATCGCTAATGTATATATTGCTAAAATAGGTAGTACCAGTTATTTGATTGACCAGTTGTTCGACAATGGCAATAAATAATTTTTTGATTGATCTCTAAATAAATTACCATATTTTCAATTTTTCAGTTCAAAGCTTGCGGAAATTGGCAGATCCGACGTGAAATTATCACAAGTTGATCCTAAAGTGGACAACAATCAACGTTAGCGGATTCGGTATGAGCATATACAATAAAATCTTATTAATATAATATGAAAGCTAAAGACTTATATGAAACAATTTTCACGAAATTATCAAATTTATCAAATTTATTTGATCATATTTTCATCAATGCGTGAGTTTTGCTTACTCTTCATATTTTTCTTTAGTAAAGATTTATAATTTGAATATTGTTTCTCAAATACATTATATAGAAGAATATATTTCTTCTCTCAAATTTTTTTCTCTAATAATTCAGCTTGTATATGTGTGTGTTTTAAACAGAAAGAGAGAGACAGAATTTGATAAGTAATATAATAAGAAATAAATTAGTGTAATCTATTTATTTATAGTTCATAATTTTCTCAAAATTTTCTTGTTGTCATTTCTTATAAAAATTATAATATTAATTTATAGCATCGCATCAAAGGTTTTAATTATCATATTTAAACTTAAATATAACTCGCACAAAGGAGTGTTGTTTTAATATAAAAACGATGCTATATAAATTTCCAATAATAATTAAAAATTAATAGATAATTATTATTTTTAATAGAATTCTTTATAATAAGTAGATATTATTATTTTTAATAACCTTCAACTATTAATTCGACGCTCTTTTCGGAAAAATTATTGCGGTTTCTTTATTTATATAGTCTTCGTTTTTTAAATATTAAACGCATACGCGAACGATCGAAAACTTTTATATTTTGCCTCGCGACGAGGCTTCTATCTAATTGATTCATTGGATTTTAGATATGGTTGCTATTCCGGACTCGCGAACTGATCCGGTATTGTTGAATGGCATAGAAATAACAGTACCGAATAACAACAGTAGCAGCAATAACAATGTAGCAGACGACACCAGAAGAGTCAGGGATCAAGCCTTCACCATACCTCGTATTACAATACCGACCAGTGACGATAATTATACGTTGAAATTCGAAAACATAGACAAAATCAACGACAAGAAACTAAACACGGACAACATCAATGCGGAACCTGTCGTTATGAAAAAAATTGCCGGTAAGAAACCCCAAACTGTGAAATTAGCATAAAAATTCCAATATACAAAGTGCAAAAGTAGATATAGGGATAAAATAATCGCTAATTATATGAAAATTTTACTCACAAAATAAGTAATTTTATGTACTTAGAAAATACAACACGGTTCATTTATTAACTTATCAATTTACACGATCTTCTCGTTAATGCTCTAGTTTTGTTATATGTATTTTATCCGACCTATTTTTTTCTTATCTGTTTAGAATAATCATAAAAATTTAAAGGACAAAAATTACATTAAAAAGTAACGTGCGTTATCAAACCGAGTTATGTAACTCCAAGGGATATAATATATGAAAAACATTTATAAATTTACCACGCAGACAAAACTAATATATAATATTATATAAAAATGCCATAAATCTCACACAAATTTATTTGACAATTTATTTGACAAACGAATTTCCAGATTGCTTTGCACAGTATCAAATGATACTGGGAAATAATAAAATACAATATATGTATGAAAGGATTGTATAAAATTTTTAAAATTAGCGAATATTCCGACAATGTCACCATTGCAAGTTTTCCTACATTACTTTAAAGTAAGTTTTAGCTCTTTTAGAAACGAACAAAGTAATTGTGATAATGATATGTTTGCGGATGTGGTGGGGAAAAAGAAAAACCATTATATATATGCGCAAAGTCGCGCGAATTTGCGCATATGTATAATGGTGATTATAATAATGACACAATACTGTGTGACTCTCCGATTATTTAACGCAACATGAACGCACTGAACGTTCCATGACCATCAAAATTCAAAATACTATAAATTCGCAACGGTATATAATCTCGGTACAGAGAAAAAACTTGATCATTTCGTGCCTTTGCGGAATACAAGTGTGTTTATACGGAGAAGATACGGAAACGTTGAACGCTACCAGAAGATTATTTATTCGTGTACTAGTGAGCTTGTTTCCCTTTTTTAGATTTTATATGAATCAATCAAAAGTGAAAAAACTTGTTAAAAACGAAATTTAAGAAACCTACGAAAAAATGGCTAATTATGTGTGTATGATCGGATCAAAAAATTATTAATAGAATATCAATAAGTTTCTAATCAAATTTTTGCTTTTTAATTTCTCCATTTTAGCAAAGTTATATAATATATTTGGCCTTTAAATATCGAGACCAACAATATCAAGTTTAATCGATGAATTATCATCATATTTCTTGTATAGTTCGAATATACACGCAAAAAAATATAAGACTAACCATTTTCCATAATTTTTTAAATATTGAATACAATTTTAATTTCACATTGCTCCACTACATCATAATTTCGAGAAATTTGTAATTAAAGTTAAAAAGGCTTTATTTTAATATTATTTTAATATTATTTTTTCATATTATAACTATATGTTACGTGACTATTTATTACATCTATAGCATGTGTTGATAAAATTGTATAGCAATCAAAATTATATTATTAGCATTTCCAATTTTCAAAAAAAATTTATTGTGTCGGTATTCAATTAGTATATATAATATTTAAAATAATGATGGTTATTTCAAATTCTAAAACATTAAAAATAACGAAAATTCAACTTGCAGTGAAAATATAAAAATATTAATATCTAAAAAGAATTTAAAAAAAGAGTAACGCTTGTTTTTTTGTAAAACTGTATTTTTTAAAAAAAGAAAAACAATTTTCCATTTATATCTTCTAAGTTTCTAATTTCCTAATCTTTTAATTTTCTATTTATATATCTTTAGAAATAAATAGATTGTCTTTATTATAGATACAAAAACACAGTTTGTAATTTTTAGAAAGTAATCACTATTTTAATATAATAAAAAAATCTAAATTTTTTATATTTTTAATTTATCTTTTTCGAAAATAATTTAATGAAATTTAAAGATTAATAAAATTTTTGCGATTAAAATGATATCAATATAATTCGAATATAACATGACATAATTCAAAAAATTATTATCGATTAGATGTATAAAAATTAGATGTATAAAAATTTTTGTTCAATCATGTCGCGTCTTGATGTAATTTATCGCAAAAATAATTAATTACAAATTAATTAATCTATATAAAACTTTCTACAAAAAATTAAATATTTTTAAAATTTGTCCGCGTATTCGAAAAAATAGTTTATCTTGTATTAAACTATGTTACTTAGAAAATACAGATATAATAAATTTTATTTGAATATTCCTGACCTATTAGATAAGAAACTATGTATTAATGCTTACTTGATAGCGGGTTTGAAGACAACCAACGGCCAAAAGGATAAGAAAGACATGTCTGGCGGTGGTGGATCTCTTTCCAGTGGTAGCTCCATAGTAACAATCTCGTCAGTCGCCATTTCGGATCCTGATCCGGACTATCGTGCCGACCCAAATGAACATGGAGACAAAAGAAATATCAGGAATGAAAAATGGTATCACACAATTGTTCAAGTATCAGTACCTTTTCTTATCGCTGGTATGGGCACTATCGGAGCAGGCCGTGTTCTCACTACCGCAAAGGTAAGGGATTTTTAACAAAGAAATTCGAACAATTTATTTTGTTTCTCAGACTGTCTTCTTATCAGGATAAGGTATTTGTCATTGTCCAAAGATAAAAAAATAACTATTATTAGCAAGGAAAAAAAATGTCGAAGCCAATTTCTCTCTGAATGTTTATCGGATCCGATACATTTATCGATCGCAAACCAGGATATCTTGTATCATTCTTTACTTGTGATTATAAACATCTTGAGTATCCACATTTTTAAGTAGATTTCAGACAAAGACTTTTAAAACGAGTTAGTTAAAAAAATAAAAAAATAAAAAAATTGAACATTTCGATTAACTAGAGTGAAATAATAATATTAAATAGTATTAAATTAATAATAGTAATAAATATACATTAATTTTTTCATAAGTTCTCTCTCTCTCTCTCTCTCTCTCTCTCTCTCTCTTTTTTCGTCAATAATATATATTTAAAGATAAAAATAAATTTATGCTAATAAAAATTGCAATTTTCTGGGATATAATTCAATAACAGATTCTTATTACATTTTAAATCCGTCTTAAGTAAACATTTTTAGGATTTTTATTTGATTAATACAATATTTAATTTCAAGCATAAGAAATATGTTTAAAAATAATTTCTTCTCGCCAATTTTATTTTCAAAAATTAATACTAAAAAGTCAAGGCATTTTTCATTGCTTTTATGTTTATATGATCACAAAAAATATGCGATATTTATAATAATTATCATTATTGTTTATTATTTACAATCTTATCATAATGCGTATATGTGTCTAACACAATCCATGCGATAAAAAACATATATATCACATATATATCATTATTTTAATTTCTGTATATATTTGATTCCAGAACTTGTCCGCATTTACGGAAGTCCCTCAATTGTTAATTTTGACTACGGCGTTGCAAGGTCTAAAGGGTAATCTTGATATGTGTTTGGCGTCGCGTTTATGCACTCAAGCGAATTTAGGCAACATGAAGGGTCGACGAGAGATCATCAAGATGATCATCGGTAACATCGCCTTGGTGCAGATCCAAGCGATAGTCGCGGCTCTATGCCTATCGGTATTTGGAATGGGAGTAGGCGCGATCAATGGAAACGGCTTCGTCTGGAATCACGCGTTATTGTTGGCGGTTTCGTGCATGTGCACAGCAACAAGTTCCTGCTTTATCTTAGGTAAACCATCCTCTCGTCGGTGTGCTTATTAAACATTGATTAATGAACCGCCGCTTACGCGCTTGCTCCCATGAATCGACACTTGTGTAAGGTAATCTATTCGCCATTTATCAGCAATTAGCATTAATAATGATTGCTATCGCAGTTCAGTTTTCACGCATTACACTAACAGATTATTTTTTCTTATGCACAGATACTCTTTTTATGCATATCGTTTGTCATAAAGATCTTTTTTTTTTATTCTTTTGTTAATGCGTGAATATTTTTCAAATATATCACAAATCTATATCACATATCAAATATTTCACAAATCTTCGATCTAGCAAAATATTATGTGTAATTTATGTACTCACATTCTAAATTCAAATCATAATTCGTGCCATTTGTTATTGACATTTCATATTTTTCTCCGTGCATAATAATCCTGACAATTTTTATAATGTAAATATGTTTATTCTTTTTGTAACAGTTTCATAATTTTTTAAAATTATTCCTCTTTATAACTCTTCCTTTCTTGTAATTTTTTTCCATTAATTTCCAAATTATTACATTTGGTATTCGTTATAATAAAATCTAAATCCATGTATCTTCCTTAGGTAGATGCAATAGAGTACATTGATAAATCGAGGTCCAAATTATTGATAAAATTTTTCTTTACCTTTATAGATTTCGTCATGATTGCCGTAATCATGATATCCCATCGATTCAAGATGAATCCAGACAATTTAGCAACTCCTTTGGCTGCATCTATCGGTGATGTTGTATCCATTAGCATCCTCTCATTCATAGCCTCGGAATTCTTCCTCAGACTAAATGCCGAAATATGGGTATTGTACATCGTCCTTGGGTTTTTTCTTGTGCTCTTACCACTTTGGATCCTGATCGTATTAAAGAATAAATATACGAGCAGTGTATTGAAGTCTGGCTGGGTTCCTATTCTATCTGCTCTTCTGATCAGTGGGTTAGTCTAAAGTGACATGTTACATACTAGACACATATACATCTTCGTTTTTTTGAATAATTTCATCTGAATATGACCAAGTTTATGCGTAACATATTAAAGAAAATAAATATTCGGATGATAAATATTCAATCTTCTTTCATGATTAACTGATTATTAATTTTATTATATAAATCATTTTTTAAATTTTATATTGCTCATATTTTAATTTGCGTAATTATGTTAATAATTAATTATGTAATTCGATTATTATAATGTGTTTTTATTTTATTTAATTATATTTTTATTTCATCTTTAGCGGAGGTGGATTAGTTCTTGAAAGAATGGTTGAGTCTTTTGAAGGATTTGAAGTTTTCCAACCAGTTATTAATGGAATTGGCGGCAATTTAGTATCGGTGCAAGCGTCTCGAATGTCAACTATGTTACATCAGTCTTCCATCATGGGAATTTTACCGCCACACGGAAAAATTTGGGTGTTTCCGTGGACAGCACTCTTCGTAGGATGTATGTATAATTCTATATAAAAGGATATAATCTGGTATACATTCTTTAGCGCGATTTTTTTATTTCTTTTTCACACGAAAATATTCTGTTTTTGAAAACTCTAAATTTTGATAAAATTTAAAATTATTTAAAATTATTATACACTGATTATACTATTTTTTTCTATAATTTTTCATAACTTTTTCATATATATATTATTTATATTTTCTATATATAAATATATTTTCTTTCTTTATATATTATTATTTATATTTTCTATATATTTTTTCTTTCTTTTATCCTTTTTTATATATATTTATCTTTCTTTTTTATTCAGAGAAATCAACATTTTTGAATAAAACTCTTTCAAGAAATTTTCCATGCTTGAATTTTCTAAGCAGGAATTTCCCGTACAATATTTGACATATTTTTCTTCCTTACAGCGCCATATGCGACAACCGCTAGATTACTCGTTGCAATGGCAATTCCTGGTCAATTGATTTTCGTCTTTATCGCTGACGTATTAAACCCGGGCAATTGTACTTTATATGCGTATTTCGTAATCTCCTACATAGTCGTTTCCGTGTTACAAGTAAGTTACGCAATGTTCTTATTTAGTCTCTATTTTGAATAACAAGTAAGGATAAAATAATAAAATTTCTTTATTTTTTCAGGTATTGTTATTGTTATACGTCGCGCACATAATTATTCACGCAATGTGGAGGTATAAAATCGATCCTGATAACTCGGCGATCCCCTATTTAACGGCATTAGGTGATCTTAGTGGATCATTACTCCTAGCGTTAGCCTTCTTCGTCGTATACTCGATAATACATCAACCATATTGTATTGAGAAATGACTTTGTGACGAAACATAAAATCCGATTTAGAATCAAAGTAGATATAAATACAGCGCGCAAAGAATTTTTAACGATAATAAAATTTGTCATGTGAGATGTTAAAATCGTTGATTGAATGCTTGAGCCATGAAAACAATTCAAATGCGCTGTCATGGTGGCATTTATTCAAAGTGATTTGCAAAATTGAATTAAAAATAATGGCCAAATAATACTAAAAAATAGTACAAAATACTCAGATTATACAAATATATTTATGTTATTAATTTCAAAAAAAAGAGAGAGAGCTGTTAATTAAATTTGTGTTCGCATAAATATATGATCTGCGATTGACGAGATAAGAAGTCATTCGAAAGCCAAATTGATCAGCCAACAAGAATGATAATTTTTTATTCATTAATAAAACTATAATTATTAAAAACAAGATTTTTCAATATATTACGTGTATTTTCTTTTTTTGCACAAGGTAAAGAAAGGTACAGATTTTTTGCAAATCGACAGAAGCCTAATCAAATTCAAAGCAAATAGAAATTCAAAGAAACTTTAGAAGGCATTTTAAAATATTTAAAGAGATTTAATAAAAACACTTAAAAAGAGATTTAAAAATATTTATAAAAAATTTAGGAAGACATTTAGAAACATTTTAAATTTCTGAAATATGCTTTAAAAATTCAAGAGACATAATACATTTTTAAAATCGAGTTAAACATCTTTTGTATTTTAGATATATGTATATTTAAATAAAATTGAATTAAATAAAACTTGCGTTGCTTGACAAGAATTAAACGTCAGACTTAGAATGGAAGGTCGCACTGTGATGTGTTTTAATTCTAAGCAATAATGATCATAATTTATATAAAACAGTGGCCATGAAGTATTATGAAACTGTATATCGTTGTCAAGGATTTCATGTCGTCCATTTTAAGAGATATATTGCAAGATATAAGACATTATTTAACTATGTAATCATATAACTGCAACGCAATTGCAATTCAATTAAAACAGTGGCATAATTTAACTACCTACTATTAAAACAAATGATAACTATCAGTCCTCATCACTGCCTTATATCTCATTTAATTACGCAATATATCTTCAGGACACACGTTACCTAACGCTTGGACAACGCCGAGTAATTAGACTGCATCTATTACTTGTTTTTGAACACAAGCGAGAAATTCACATATTTCGAATATTCATTCTTAATCCGTTAATAACCGAAAAGAAATATTCCACACTGCTTAGCAAAATTTCTTTTACTAGAATTATAATTTAATACTTTAAAATTCATTAATATAATTTTGTTAAAATCTCTATTTGTTATAAAAGTTTTTTTAATAATTAGCAAATTTGTTGCAGATAAAATTGCAACAAATAATCAATATAAAATTTGAAACTTTGAATCATTTCTAAAGATGTGATGGGATTTGACAAGTTCAAACAGAATTTTAGCTTTATCGATTTATATTTTTTTACAATGTACTAAATTAAAGTATAAAAATTTAAAATAATGAAAATAATTTTTAAACAACTGTGTATATATTTTTAAAAGGTAAGATAAGATTGAAGTCTGGCGTACTTCGTCAAATCAATGCAAATTGAATGATGCGTTCTCCCAACAATATTGTAATGTTTTAATTACTTTTTCGAGGATAAATTATTTAATTGTCTACTTGTTTTTCCAATGTACATATTGCATGTACGTATAATGGATATACATATATACTATTGATTGCAAAATAATTGTACATGAAATTCTCAAAGTTTTCAAATTGTATAGATAGCGATAAAAACGCGAAATATATATTTTTCAATTTTTCGATTTTTTCACAAAAAAACATATAATATTAAAAGAAGATTCGATTTTTTTATCCGTTTATCATTTTCACATAAATATCTGCTAAAATGTTTGAGTTCAATCACTAACTAGACGAGATATTGCAAAAAAATCCACGAGTGCAATTAAATTTTTACATTGACTTAGGAAACAGCATTTCTATATATTATTAAATATTTTATATTGCTATCTCAAGAATGTATAAATTCAAGTTGTATTTAACATATATTTTTTCATTATAAATATAAAAATATTTAACAAATAAGATATTAATAAATTAATTTAATAAATAAGAGGTATTACGAGAGAGATTTAATAAATACGAGATAAGCAATTATTTTAGGCTAACCTTCGAGCTACGGCTGTCTTCAATAGTATGAAAATACATACTCGTACATTATAGTTAAAAGTTATAAATATTTCTCATCAATAAAATTATTAAATTGTTAAATTACATAAATATTTCTTACATAAATTATATAAATATTTCTTAAATAAAATATTCATGCTTACGAATTCAAAGACGTCCTGTTCCGGGGTCTCCTGAACGATCCAATGGAATGGAATGATCCAAAAATATTTCGCGCTGCTTCACCGATACCGATAATCAGTCTAGTAGAATCTCTACCTTATATACCGATGATACTGTATCAATCTGATCGCGAGAGTCGAACAGGAAAGCCTCCCACTTTCCGACATAATTCTCGACATAAATATCTGCCAAAATGTTTGAGTTCAATCACTAACTAGACGAGATATTGCAAAAAAATCCACGAATGCAATTAAATTTTTACATTGACTTAGGAAACAGCATTTCTATATATTATTAAATATTTTATATTGCTATCTCAAGAATGTATAAATTCAAGTTGTATTTAACATATATTTTTTCATTATAAATATAAAAATATTTAACAAATAAGATATTAATAAATTAATTTAATAAATAAGAGGTATTACGAGAGAGATTTAATAAATACGAGATAAGCAATTATTTTAGGCTAACCTTCAAGCTACGGCTGTCGTCAATAGTATGAAAATACATACTCGTACATTATAGTTAAAAGTTATAAATATTTCTCATCAATAAAATTATTAAATTGTTAAATTACATAAATATTTCTTACATAAATTATATAAATATTTCTTAAATAAAATATTCATACTTACAAATTCAAAGACGTCCTGTTCCGGGGTCTCCTGAACGATCCAATGGAATGGAATGATCCAAAAATATTTCGCGCTGCTTCACCGATACCGATAATCAGTCTAGTAGAATCTCTACCTTATATACCGATGATACTGTATCAACCTGATCGCGAGAGTCAAACAGAAAGGCCTCCCACTTTCCGACATAATTCTAACCGCGACGAGCCTTCCAGTCGCGTGTCCCGCGTCGTTGGGATCGCGTCAGCGGCCGAACCGAATATCGACGCGTATCCGTCAGCCGGATGATTGTATCTGATCGTTAGTACTACACTGCACACGCAGTTTACGTCGTCGCGAGTGATCTAAACGACGTCCGAGGAAGTGTCATTTTTCCTCGCGCTTTGACAATCTCGCGCGATTCGCCCGAGGTCGTTCTCGGATCTGGACAGGATATACCCGGTGTCGCGATGCGATGCGCGGCGACGAACCGTTCGCTCGGCAGCGCGGCCATTGAGTGCCGGTGATTTTGTCGCGAGCTCCGAGCCTGGGGAGAGATTATCGTCCTCGCTTCGCCTCGCTCCGTCTCGCTCCAGCTCAAGATCATTATGCCCGCCGAGTCGATCCGCCTGTTGCTGTTCAGCTGCATCATAAGCGATCGTCCCGGGGCAAGAGGTAACGATGGCAATTCTTTTCGAGCGAGCGACCTCGCCGTCCTCCTCCTTCCCAGCCAGGAACCTCCTCATTTCCGCTTTTTCTCGCGCGAAACGTCAAGCGCGACGTAGGTTCTGCGTCTCGCTTCCGCGTACACGAGGAGGAGAGTGCGATCGCATCGACGAAACGAAGGGCGTAGTACCCTATGACGAGGTACGTAAGTGCCGCCCTTTGATCTCCCTCGCCGAGGGTCGGCCGATTCCTTTGATATTTTACATGTCATATGTCTGTATGTCAAGTTGACGGAGACGCGAATCAAAGGCGACAAGGTTGTTCATCGATCACCTTCATTCTCATAATTATTGTCATTATTGCAACTAATGAGTAATATATATGCTGTTTGGTTTGCCTGCCTACTGATTTCATAACCGGTTATCATATGTAAATATGTATAGAGTTTAGTTTCGGAGAGAATGACATTTCTCTCTTGACGTCTGATTTCTTCTTTAATATTATTATAGGTCTGTTTATATTTTCTTACTCATACTTGCTATATTTAAAATGAGATAAATTCAATATTGAACTCAAAATTTTAAATTTGTATGAGAGGAATTTCACTTTAAAAGGATAGATATATATTATATTGAATGGATCTCTGATATATTACATTTTTGTATCAAATATCTGATTTTAATTCATCCATTTGTTTATTTTTTCTAAGATGCCCGCTTGCCAACGATTCTATAAATTGACCTGTAGACTGCAAAATAGAATTTCAATACGTTTTATGATTCATATTAGCGGGAAAATTAGTCAGATTAATTATATATAACCATCAGATTTTACAATTGAGAGAACTTAATTTTTGATTGATTAGGAAATAAAACATAATTTGTAAAATATATTTGAAACTTGACGTCTCTCGAATGGATTTGTTTTTGCATTAAATTTTTTAATTTTTTGAAATAGACAAAAGATAATAAACGATTGCTACTTTAATTATTTTACTTCTTATTAAAAGTGAATATTTAAATATACTCCAATTTAAATTATATATTACATTTAAATATACTCCATTTTAAATATTTTAAATATATCATTTTAAATTAAAATTTATAATTATGACAATTTTAATACATTGCTTAAAAATTTTTACAGTTCTCCTATTCTATCGGAGACGATTTGCGCGTTAAGTTCTATGCTGTTATAAATAAATTTAGATAAGTCGCTACGCATACACACTTCAAGTTACGACTAGAAGCAAAGTCGTAGTCGTTTTAAAATATGAATATACCTTGTTAATTTGAAAATAATTATACATTCGCTCTACTATCTAAAGTTGCTTTGATATGAATAACAGCCCTTCAATATTCATTAATGAATAAAACTTAGTGTTCAAAAACATTAATTTCTGAAAATTTATCGATTAAAAAAGTGCAATCCAGTAAAAATGCGTGCGTAATCTATTTTAAATTTGGAATAATTAATTTCCAACTTGAGGCGTAACAAAATTTAATTCCCATAATTTCATTTAATTTACATTTTCTTTTAATCTATTTATTAAAGATTCATGGAATAGTGTTTCAAAAAAAAAAATAAAATTTGCATATCACAATTATACGTTGACATCATACATCTATTTATTCCTTGCTTACATTTTCTCGATATATATATATATATATATATATATATATATATATATATATTTCGCGTGCTGTTTAAATTAACTTCTCTTTTGATGTAAGGAACGAATATCAGAATTATTAATTTATAAGAATCATTATAAATTAATTTATAATTCTTATAATTTATATTATAGTTTTATAATTTATAAGAATTATAAATTAATTTATAAGAATTATTATAAATTAATTTATAATTCTTATAAAATAATTCTTATAAATTAATTTATAAGAATTATTATAAATTAATTTATGAGA